GTCATTAAAAAAGCCATAGTACAGTATGTCATATAAAATGTCACAGGGTAGTATACCATGACAAAGACAAACTAAAAAGCCATTGTATAGTGTCGTCAAAGAAAAAGTAATTAAAGTCATAGTATAGCATGCCATAATAAAAAATGTCATAAAAAAGCTATAGTATAGTTTGTCATAGAAAATGTCATAAAATGTTATAGTACAGTATGTAAAAAAAAAAAATAATCAAAAGTTATAGTATTGTATTAATGAAGTACTATACTATTACTTTTTTTTATAAGATTTTGTATGATGTATGATACTATGACTTTTACAATTTTTATTTAAAAGAATGTCCAAAAAAAAGCCATAGTTTAATTTGTCACAGAGAATGTCATAAAACTTCATAGTATAGTATGCTATTATAATATCATTCAAAGCCATTTTGTAAAAACATACTTAATTGTTACATTTTTAATGATTTTTAGACATAAAATATCATGACATTTATGACAATTATTCAATAATATATAATACTATGATGATGATGATGATGATAAGGGCGGCAGGGTGGTGTGGTGGTTAGCACTGTCACCTCACAGCAAGAGGGTTGCTGGTTCAATTCTGAGTGCGGGAGCCCCTCTGTGTGGAGTCTACATGTTCTCCCTGTGTCAGCATGGGTTTCCTCTGGGTACTCATGCTTGCTCCCACAGTCCAAAGACATGCAGGTTGGGGATAAGTCAATTTTTATTTATTTATTTAATGTTCATTTAACAGGGACGATACATACAACATTGACACAAAAAAATGGGAAAATGTGATGCATATAAGATGTCTAGCTTCAGCTACTTTGCAGTCTGTGTCCCTGGTCAGGCTTTAGAATATAATAAAATATACTGAATACAATAAAAAATGCAATGATAAAAGAAAAAAGTCCGTAGGTGTGAATAGTTGTCTGTCTTTATATGTCAACCCTGCGATAGTCTGGCAACCTGTCCAGGATACCGTGCGTCTCGCCCAATGTCAGGTGGGATAGGCTCCAGCCCCCCTGTGACCCTCAAGAGGACAAGCAGTGAGGGGATGGATGGATGGATGGATGGATGGATGGATGGATGGATTGAATGACATACTACACTATTAAGTTTTCATGATTTTGGACGACATACTACGCTACCACTTTTTTTCATGGTTTTGGATAACATACTATACTATGACTTTTTTTCATGATTTTGAACAACATACTATACTATGACTTTTTTTCATGATTTTGGACGACATACTATATTATGACTTTTTTTCATGATTTTAGACGACATACAATACTATGACTTAGGCATAGGCATAGTATAGTATGTTGTCCAAAACCATGAAAAAAACTCAAAAAAAAAAAAACCCTTTAACAGGGGAAAAAAACGGTAGAAACCTCAGGAAGAGCAACTGAGGAGGGATCCCTCTTCCAGGAGGGACAGACGTGCAATAGATGTCGTACAGAACAGATCAGCATAATAAATTAACAGTAATCCANAGAGAGAGAGAGAGAGATGCAGGACAGACAGTAATGACAGTAGCTTACAACAACATTAATGAAAGTAATAATATTATAATTATAGTTCTGGCTACTGTGATACAATATGTTGAAAGTATATATTAATATCTGATAGTATACATATGTGACGATAATCATATGTGTATAATAACAGTAGAAGTATGACTAATGACTAATGATAACAGCAGCAGCAGGAGGCATCTGGCAGGACCACGGCAGCAGCACAACCACACACGTCACATTATCCAGGCACCGCTGCGATATGAGTTAACCTGAGAGACAGTGGAGCACAAAGGTGCCCGGTGTATTATAGGGGGGCCTCCAGCAGACTAGGCCTAAGTCAGCCTAACTAGGGGCTGGTACAAGGCAAGCCTGAGCCAGCCCTAACTATAAGCTTTATCAAAGAGGAAAGTCTTAAGTCTAGTCTTAAATGTGGAAACGGTGTCTGCCTCCCGGACTGTAACAGGAAGATGATTCCACAGGAGAGGAGCCTGATAGCTGAAGGCTCTGGCTCCTGATCTACTTTTGGAGACTTTAGGGACCACGAGTAACCCTGCGTTCTCAGAGCGCAGATTTCTGGTGGGATTATATGTCATCCATATAATATAGTATGTCCTCCACAATCGTGAAAAAAACTCATAGTATAGTATGTCCTCCAAAATCATGAAAAAAAGTCATAGTATAGTATGTCGTTCAATATCATGAAAAAAAGGCATAGTGTAGTATGTTGTTCAAAATCATGAAAAAAAGTCATAGTGTAGTATGTTGTTCAAAATCATGAAAAAAAGGCATAGTATAGTATGTTTTTCAAAATGATGAAAAAAAGTCATAGTATAGTATGTCCTCCAAAATCATGAAAAAAAAGTCATAGTATAGTATGTTGTTCAAAACCATGAAAAAAGTCATAGTATAGTATGTTGTTCAAAATCATGACAAAAAGTCATAGTATAGTATGTTGTCCAAAATCATGAAAAAAACGTGATAGTACAGTATGTCGTTGAAAACAATGAAAAAAAGTCATAGTATAGTATGACATCCAAAATTATGAAAAAAAGTGATAGTATAGTATGTCGTCAAAAACCATGAAAAAAGGTCATTTATTAGCATGTCGACCAAAATCATGAAAAAAACGTTGCAGTATAAATACCATGATATATACTATGTCAGAGCAAATGTCATAAAAGTCATAGTATGTCCTAAAATGAAAAAATGACATCACAATAGTATGCCATAACAAAAATGTCACAAAAAAATCCTACTATCATATTTTCATTAAAGGAGTCATCACCCGGAAATCACATTTTTCCTTGTTATTACATGTATATTGGAGTTAGACCTCAGTTGAAAGTTGCCTGAAATTTTGGAGGATGAAAGTGGCTCTGTTTTTTTTTTTGGCCTCTTTGTTCAAACCACAAGGGTGCGCACTCAAAAAAGTGAGATTTTGGGTGTGCTCTTAAGGTTACGTAACAATAGGAGGCTATGTGCCTAATCCCGACCTCTCTACCACCACCCCCCACCCCGCCCCACACCCCGCCTGAATCATACTGCACCTGCCGCCATTACCAACAAGGTGTGTAAAATGTCTAAACGACGCTCCCACGTTAATTGTTCCGTTGTTGGTTGCCACAATGAACACAAAAGTATTTTCAGCATCCCAGCATCGGCGGACCAAGCAACAAAGGAACAGTGGATACATTTTATCTTCAATAACAATGTTCCCGTGCCTCTTCCTGTCGCCCTTTACGTCTGTGGAAAACATTTTTCGCCTGACAGTTTTTCAAATTTGGGACAGTACCAGGCGAATCTGGCCTCAACCCTGCGTTTGGAGAAAGGGGCAATTCCTACTATTCGAGACTCACCAGCAGTGCAATCGGTAAGTCTCGCCACGTTATGTAACAGTTAATGGTATGTTTTACTGTGTCGGCTACTTGACCCTGAAACGATGGTAGACAGCAGCTAACTGCTAATTGGGCTAACGCTAGATGCTAACATTATTCACAAGGGACTAGTATAACCTGTGGACCTCATGTGATTTAGAAATGACCCCCATGTCTTTCGTTTTATATCTCCGGGGTGCGATGTACTGTGGTATGGATGTTTGTAAACGGAGACCATGACAGGGACCACTGCGGAGACCCAGGTTCTCCAGCAGGTTCCGACTCCGGTTCAAACATAAAAGAGCGAATTCCATAAACAGCTGCCCAGTCAGGTTGTTCATTTGGTGCGTGCACCATGATGAAGGGATTGTTGTTATTTTGGAGTCGGCCAACTTGTGGATGTATTGGGCCAGCCCCCATTCCGGCCCTGTCCTTCCTGCAGCCAATCAACGCATGCCTCATTATCATTATTACAATGAACATCCGGACCAGTCAAAATCTCACATGTACTCGCACGAGAGAAAGTCGCAGTATGGCAGGGAGGCAAAACAAGCTCAATGTTTGATTTTTTTGGCAAATTAATTTTAAAAAATAATTTTAAGACAATTAAAGAGAGACAGGATATGTTAAAACACCAGGTGATAACTCATTTAAAAAATACATATAATAAAAAATGTTATTGTATAGTATGCCATACAAATTTTGATAATATAGTATGTCATAAGAAAAGTCATAGTGTAGTATGAGAAAGTCATAATATGGTACAGTGCTTTCCAAATCAATTTTTTTTTAAAAATTTACCTGCTTTGAAACATTTTTTCAGCCAAGTACTCCCTGAACAGCAGAAAACATTTTTGGTAGAAACACATGGTGAACAAACCTAAGTGTGAATGTAAGTGTTTGTTGCAGCAGTTGAAAATTGGAATACAGTTTAAAATATAACGTGCTTTTGTGAACTGACATTTACATTTCTTGTTTTACTTATTATAGTACATTTATTAAGGAATAATGCATGACTGATAAAAGATCATGTGTGCTTTGATTTTTGATTGATTTTATCAAGTAATTTTATTTTATTTTAGCTGCAAGTCTTCATTAGCAGCTTTTAGCACAATTGGATCCAAAATTTGGATCAGTTTAAAATCAAGTGGTTTAGACCAACAAATGTACTAGAAATTCTACTTGCAGTACAGGGAACCAAAAACATATTGCTGGCTAATGCCAAAATGGCACGCCAAAACTCATTTGTGCATCATCACAAAAAAGCTTGTGCCGAAAGCTCTGCAATTTGGTGATTATTTGCTGGCCGTGCGACACAGCTTGTACGATAGCTGAAAAGCAGAGGTCAGCTTTATCAAAACAGTCAATGGTGTGAATTCATACGTAGAACTGCACAGAAGTTGATCCATTTTGTACAAATTTACTTTGCTGCTGCAAGTGAATCCATTTCTTGCTGCTATTCCATTAACATAACTTGATTTTGACTGCTTAAACACGGCAGTCATAAATACAAAGAAAGCACTTCAGCATGTTTGAATACAGCCACAGTATTAATCTTCAGGCACTACATCCAAAGATCAAACATCAAAGACTCCAGGTACAGCCGTTGAACATTTATCTTTAATTCTGCACAATCTTATCAATTCACCAAAACATCTGAAAGAATATTTAAGGCTGTAGATAGACTTAAATGATACAAAAATCTGGGCAACAAGGATGGAATTAAGGAATTAAGTTAGTATTCTAAAAATACAAAATATAAAATTTCATACTTAAAAAAATTATACCTTATCAAATGCTGTGTATTTATTTACAATGTCAATAAAACACCTCAAAATGAATACAGTTCAGGATTGAGCCTTTCAGAAACTCTCATAAATAAGAAGTTCAGATATGAACAAAGTAGTCTCTTTTCACATTTAAGTTTTTTTCTTTTGTACTCTCCCATTTGATTTTCCTGTTAAAATGCTAAATGGTCTTTCAATATTCTGCCCTAACAGAACATATTCAATTCAATGATATACTTTAATACAGATCTCCAAGTTGTTCAGCCTCGACTCATGAAATGAGGACATTCATTGGAGCCCCAAAGCAGACCAGCTTGCATATACACATCTGAGCAATTCTGGTAAAACATACTGATTTTCTTTTTTTCAAATGTCTTAGCTTCTCTAAAATCCACATCTACATTTTATGACAGCCTTGGCTTGTAAACCCCAGTTCCAAATTTAATTGCCTCCTCAGATATTTACATTATTAGCATTGAATTGGCATAACGGTTAAAACTAGGAGAGAAAGGTCCAGGCTTCATAGAAATACATGTGATCAATTATACGTTTTTGTCGAATAAGGTTGAAAAATAACAATAGTGGTTTGAAAAATACGACATCTTGAAATTCTGGGAACATGACTCAACACTATGTTCCACACTGGATCCAATTATTTCCAACAATCAAAAAGCATCTAAGCTGGGGTAGCAGTGCAAGGCTTCACATCTGGACTTGTTTTAACCAGCAGGAATCAGTTGTAGCTCCTCTGCTGTATTGTGAACCCCTGACCAGCTTGGGGAGCTTGTTTGAAATTTTTCACATTTTTTGTGAGGGCTCTGCAGGGAGAGGCATTATAAATAAGGATAAACCCAACGCTGACCTTTTGGCGAACTGTTTTGAGGCAACCTCACCCTGTGCTGATCTGCCCCAGGGCTCCTGCTTCTGACCTGGACATCTGAAACATTAGCAAGGTTGAGTCTTGTCCTGGGGAATTACGGGACCGCCACAGCAATTGCTCCCAAACACATTTATAGCCATACAACCCTAACCCAATCATTTAAATCGGCTTTAAAAACTCCAGTCCCCCCAGTGGGATTAGCAATCATTCAAACAGCGCACAGTGAGAAGGTGAACTAGCAAGTCCAAAGTAAAAAAGCAATTTGCTTTTAGTCTTGCTCCCTGTCATCATCTCCATCATCTCCACATGTTTTTTTTTTTTTTTTAATTTCTAGCTGATAAAAAGAGGAGATTCTGAAGATATGGCAGTGCAGTTCAAAGTAATAAAGCAAGGGCTGAGAAGCCTCACAGCTCAGCCTCAATTTCAACTCATTCATACATGTGATTTTCTCAAACCCCTCCACTTTTTTCTCTCACACACATTCCAGGTTCATTACCACATCATCTCACCAGGACTTGGGAAGTCATCCACACTAATCCAATAACAGCCGGAACCACAGCGGAACTCATCTTTTTTTTTTTTTTTTTCCAGTGCAATCCAAGGGTCTCTACTTCGGTCCTGCGTTATATCCATTCCATATGATTCTTCTTGGTCCAGTTTCAATTCCCGGTTCAGTCAGGACAAGAGAGGCCTCATTAACAATGGTCCAGTCCAGTATGATATACGACCTATTTGAGTTTGTTCAGTCCTGTGCAGTCAAATCTAGTCCTCTAGGGTCCAGTTTGGTCAACTCCAGTCCAGTATCGTCCACTTCAAGTCTTTGTCTCTGCCCTGGACTATAAGAACTCCACATAGTTTTCTGGTATCAATCCTGTTCGGCCATCCAGAGTCCCCTCCAGCCAACCGGGCTCCCTGGAGGCATGAACTGGAGAGAGAGAGAAAGAAATGTTATTTTTGTTTGAACAACTCAAGATAGAGGAGGAAAATACCTACAAAGATGTGGCACTTAAACATGTGGATGAACATGTGCAGATAGTGTGAGAGAGAAAGAGTGGGGGAATGGGGGTGGAGAGACAGACGCCAATAAGTGAGAACAGGGCACTCAATAATTTCACATGTTCCTCATTATCTACGTGTTTCATATCTAAATATTTTGAGCATACATCTCTGGCGCGAAAATCACACAGCAATAGCTGCTAATAAGTGAGCACGAAATATGTGCCTGGATGAGAGATGTAGTGTTTCCTGCTGGATCCACTAAGATCATCGACTGTAGATGAGGGTGAGAACTAGCTAAGTACTGAAAAAATATTTTGGCAAAAGCTGTAAAACCAAGCAACTAAGTGATAATGGTTAAATATTAATAAAAGCTGTGGTTTGCTATTGAGAATTCTACTGGACTGGATTGTCCTTGTCCCCGCAACATTCTTTCTTTGTACAGTTGTGATGCTACATTGGATATTCTTTCAGCATTACTGTTGTTAATCAGAAAAGAGCATTTATACCACTGTGTAACCTCATGTCAATGCAGTGCCTCATAAGCCATGGACAGTTTTATCTAAATGAGCCGCCAGTCTTAATTAATTTTCTGGGCAGGATTAACACAACATCCAAATATTATGGCCTTATAAAGTTGACATTGGCAGTATATATGCAAGTGCTAATTCACACACATTTGACTGGAGTCGTGTTTCCAAACACTCTACAAACGTAAGTCCATATTCATTCTTCTTTAGCTCCGTTTTGGTCCCCACCACCTCCTGAGGGAAATATCTGACTCATAAGGCCCCAGACACCAAGCCAACGGTCGACCGTTGGTCAAAGTTGGGCCATTGGTGAGTGTGTGCTGCCCTCGACAATGTGGCATTTCCTGCACCATTGCCCCTTGCCAGCCCCTGTCGCCTTTTTTTTTTCTTGACAACTGAACATATGGAATCGGCGTTAGCGACAGTGGAGCCCATCGGTGATGAAATTACTCTGATTAACAGTTCAGCTCAGCCCTCAGAAGAGAAACATAAGTCAGAAAACTAAACAAAGCGCTTACGGGAGGGAGTGAGACCAAAACAAACTTCTTACATAAGGTAAGATTATTTGTCTTTGGCCATTGAACTCTTTAGCAGAAATGTTTCGTGATGGCTTGTGTTACTGCTCACTGGCAGATGGTAAATATGTTTTGTTCCTTTAACATTGGATTGTGTCGTTAATGCGCTAACTGGCTACCTAGCATCAAGATGGTTTACTGGTTTCCCTTTCTGAATGTCCATAGACGCTTCACTTAACTAAAGACTGATGTCTTTCTCCCTGATTTTGTGTTTAGATGGGCGGATACAATTTCAGACTTTAAAAAAATTCCCTATGTTGCAGAACCAATAGTAAATCTGCAGGGCGGTCCTTCGGTGGCTTGCTGAACTCTTGTGCTCGTAAACATAGTCCGACTGCGTTAAAAGTTTTAAACAAAGTCACTGTAAGTCCTTCATTTCCACAATCTTGTGGACTGAGCACATGTTTGATAAAACGGAGTTAAATCTCTCTGTATCCATTTTCAATCTCTCTGTGTGTTTGTTTCCTTGCGGACGAGAAAAGTGGGAGCGCACATTTCCGGGAGGGCGTGTCCTTTTCAAAAATGCAAGAGGCTTTTCTTTTTTGTCGGCCGTTTTCTTCGGTGTTTTAAACACACTTTAGAATGGAGTGTCCCCAGACTATCAGAAGGTGGAGATCTCTGATTGTCTGGTGGCGAGACTAGACAATAACAGACTACCCCCACCTGCTGGTGTGGAGTGTTATTTCCTCTCATGCAGACTAGGGCTGCAACTAACGATTATTTTTGTTGTCGACTAATCTGTCAATTATTTCTTAAATTAGTCGACTAATCATTTTATCAAAAAATGTGATAAAATGTTGAAAAATGTCGGTCTGTCTCTCCCAAACCCCGAAATTATCTCATCTAATGTCTTGTTTCATACTCACGCCAAAGGGTTTTAGTTCACCGTTATGGGAGAGTTTGTAAAGCTGCCAATATTTGAACGTAAGAAGCTGCAATAAGAGTATTTTGGGGTACTTTTATAGTACTTTTCTATGAAAAATGACTCAAGCCGATTAGTCGACTACTAAAATAGTCACTGATTATTTTAATAGTCGATTGGTCATTGATTAGTCGACTAATCGTTGCAGCCCTAATGCAGGCACAAAACTTTTGTGCTGGCTGACCACTGGCTGAAGTCTGTGGGGTGTGCTCATGTGCAACTTTTCTGGCTGAGACATGGCAACGTTTTCTGAAGTTGTTCTGGTGTGTCTGGGCCTTTAAGCTGTTGACCATTTGTTGCCGGGCAGGTAGAATACAGTAGGAAGCAAAAGACCAGATGTAAACATGTGGACGATGCAAGCTGTAAATATAAGGAAGTTGAAGCTGAAGTTGAGCTTATGAAAAGAAAACCAACATTAAAGCTGATTTTGATTTTAGGGTATACAGGCCCAAACAGCTGTCTTGACTAACACTGCAGGGCTTGACATGCATGAACTACAGTAATACCACGATTTTGAGGAAGCAACATAATTGATCCAATTGTGTGCTGCTGTTGCATGCACTATATTGTAATGTTCTGGTTAAAGCTCCACTAAAAAAAGAAGGCCTCTGGCAAGATATGGCGAAAACACAGGAAGTTCAAAGGAACATCGCTGCAGAAATCAATTGTGTGTTTACCACATTTTGTCCTCACAGGGAATCTGACTCAATAAAAGCTGCAGACCTTTCTACCACAGAGTCACATCAAAGGAAGACACAAAATTTAAACTGAGACAGTGCACAAGGTTTTTATCTGTCTTTAATAGTCATGGGTCTTTCTGGTTTAGACAGAACTAAATCATCCTCTTCCTTTGAAATTAGTTTGTGCAACAAAGTATGAATCAAAACTGTGGTAATAATCTGTAGAACAGATAAACACATAAATACAGTGTATTGTAGCGTTCTTATGACAGCTACAAAGGCATTATGAGTCTGCAGTATAAGCTCTGAGGGGACAGCCATCAGTGGCTAGCCATGAGCAGACTGGGACACCACTGTAGGGATTATCTGTCCCCAAGGTCACATTTTGACCCAAAAGGCTCCGATGACACTGCTACGCATTACATAACCCTCAATAGCCTTAACGCAGCTAACTCTATTTAGGGTCTGAGGCACCATGTGGCAACTGGCATGACCAAAAAAATGAATCCCTGTATGTGTCCCTGCAGAATTCCCCTGCAGGCTTTACAACATACCGTGATAACTAATATGTTCGACTGTTTCCAGCTTGAGAACTAGAGAAGCCGCGTAAGTACTGACCAAGTGGTTTTATTATCCTTAAATTTGTGCAAATCTGGTCTTCATTAGGAGAGCTGAGCCAAACAAAACTACGAGGAGATAAATGTGATTTATAGTTTTGGGCTTGAGGTTGGAGAGGCTTAAATTGGGCTGGAGAGGACCCTGAGAATGTGAGAGGAAAGGAAACAAAAAGAGAAAGGAAAAATAGAACTAATATTTTAAATGCTTTTCTGTGTCACCATGTGTGTGTGTGTGTGTGTGTGTGTATATATCTGTGTGTGTACTTAGGGTTACTTTCAAGTATGAACACTTACTTTTGCCCGCCCCCTAAAGAGAAGTGACTCCCCGGATCTAAAAGATATTAAGTGCTTGGCTGCATGCATTGCACATTACTACATCTGTCACACTCCAGTCTGCTTGCCAGCCTCTAATATTCTCTGGAGTAGTGTGCAATACGAGTGAGTGCACACACAAGCTTATTTTAAAGCCAGGTGTTGGATAAAAATACTCTAAAAAGAAGAAAAAAAGTATTACATGCTATGGGCTCAGGCTCTCAGTAATTAACTGCAAGATGTCAACTAAACAGCCTCTTCGTGCAACTCCAGTGCACCTCTTCCTCTTCACTCCAAAATGACCACCACATTTTACCTAAGGAGAAAACTTTGAGTAGAAGTGACAGGGGACCTTTTAAGTCTGTTATAAAAAATGGTAGTCCAGGGAAGATTGTGTCCCAGTTGTTATTTTCTGGGCAAAACCCTTCGACTACTTACAACCCCAACAATGAAATCCAACACCACGGCTAAATGAAGTCCAGCGAACTCCCAAGGCTGACTGTTCATTTTGACAGTAATTGTTTGTTTTTTTTCAAACACCAACCCACATTCTTTCCTATTTCCTTTCTGCTGTCAAGTCCAGGGCCTGACTCACCATTCTCAAAGATGGTCCCGGCGATGAAGGACAGCTCTGAGTTATGCTCTGCCTTGCAGGCATACAGCGCCCGAGCCTTCCTGCCCGCGATACTGGAGACATTCAGAGAGTGAGAGTGAGACAGTAGGTTCTGGGCTCATTCAAGGGAAAAAACAGAAAGCTTTCAGTTTGAAACAATGCTTAACTTAGACACCTAAAACCAGACATGGGTCATTACTTTATATCAACTGTTTTATAAGTACCAGGTGGCTATATTTACAAATGATATAGGATGTTTTCTACCATGAGTCAAGGAAGTGATCCTTTTTATACTGGAATGGATTTCCAGTTCTAATGTTTCCCTTTTTCTCGCACACATAATGCTCATATATATCAAATGTAATACTTCATTTTTCTTTTACATCATTGTTTTATATAACTGTAGCTTTTACAGAATCATGGTCTGCCACAGAATCTGCTAGCTGCCATGCAGTGGGAAGTGGTTGAAGGGAAGGCTGAGGTTTTGAGGGTGCAAAGCAGTGGCAAGAAACTAGCAGCTTCTGCAGCAGCACCAGCACACTTGAAGCTTGTACCTTGAAGCATAGTATGTCTGCATGGCCATATCGATCCACTGAGGAGCTATTTGAATTTAAAAGATCGAGGCCATGGTCCACTATAAGATGGCGCTAAATAGGGAGTGTCTTGCTCAAGGACACTGCAGAAAGAAAGACACTTGCAGGAAAAAGCCTTCAGGTTTTTTTTCTTGAATTACTTTGCTGTTCTTTATTATTTCAAAGTAAAATGGCAACAGTCAAGACATTTGGAAAGATGAATTTTGAAGAACTACGTGAATTAATAAGAGCACATTAGCATATTGCTAGCACCATTCAAATCATTTACTGAATGGTGCTTGACTAGTGCTTGAACCAAATTGCAAGAACTCCAACGCCTCCAGAAGAAATAAACACGGATCCATTTTTTTCTCTTCCCTGTCTTCTCTGTTGCACACAATCACACACCTTACCTGTTGAGAAAGAGTTCCCCAGTGCACCAACAGTCTTTTACAGCTTCACCGTGATTCGTGACAAGCTGTGATTAAATCATTACACAAACAATGTGGACCAACCTGACGGGGGAGGAGTCACTGGAGGCGGAGGACGTCGGCTGAGGACTTGATGGGGCAGAGAACATCGGCCAGGAGGGAGAGCGCGGGGAGGTGGGGCTGGGAGACATTGTGCTGAGGGACACATACATACAGAGGGTGCAATTTATAGCATTGGCAGCATTATATCGACTACAAACTATATTATTGTCAGCTGTGATCTTTTACCTGGTTGGTATGCTGCCACGACTCTTTGGGTTCAGCCTGGAAACACAAGATGAAATAAGAACCATGATGAAGTAATCCATCCTAATGAAGGAGCTATAAGGTTAAGTACTAAAATGTTTCTGGACTTGTAAAAGCAAAGGAAAGCTATTTTAACAAACCTGATATTAATTTAGACATTAAGTCTCAAGAGAGACTGTATTACTGAGGGGGTTCTCCCTTCTCACTGTCCTCTTGCTGAGGTCTATTTGCATTAGCTCTACAGCACACAAGGAACAAATGACAAGCCCACAGAGAAGACCTCCCAGCTTGCTTGGCAAAAAAATAAAAATAAAACCCAAATAATTTAGCTGAAAGGAGAAACTGACTCCTTAATAGCTCTCAATGGGTAATGTGAGTTGTTTTAATGTGCTCCAGCCTTGACTAAAATAACAATCTTAAATGAAGGCTAATAGCCATGATGAAGAAAAACAGTACATTCCGGTGAGCTTCCAGGGTCAAAAGAGATGAAGGTTTTAGCTGACGTACACTTGGCCCTGACATGATTCTTATACCTGCCCAGTGTATAAACTAATTGCTGCATTTCACAGTCCGTAGACAGCAGGGGCACACACGTAACATCAATTTGACAGGACTAAGTAATTTAGATTTGGTTCATGTATCTACTGTAATTACACATAGTTGTAGTGGGACTCTTTCCAAGCTTATGTTAGAGTGTGTATCTACATCAATCTAATCTAATTTCCAAATTGTCAGACGACATCATGATGTGAAATATAATTCATCCGTCTATCTAAACAAGCTGTTTGCCTTCATCAATCCATTTGTCATTCTATCCATCTAATCTCATGCTGCAAGATGCCAAACATACACACACACACACACACACATACACACACACACACACACACCAACAGCATGTCGATCACTCAAGTCTCGGTTTCTTTCTTAGAGATGACACGCAGGTCGCTTTCCATCACAAGCTGCCCTTAAGGATGAATCATGGTCTAGACGAGGTGAAAGAAACAGACAGAGAGGCATGTTCAAGACTGGAGTGAGGAAACAGCGAGGCATAATAAAAGGAGAAAGCAAAGAAAATGTGTCAATCAAATTATGTAAAGGCAGGACCGGGTTTTGCAACAGGCTGTGAGATAATTTCCTTGATTTAATATATTTCTGTGATCACGCAGCCATTGCTGAAAAATCAGTCATAAACAAGGCCAGTGGAGTCATGAGGACACTGAACACCCACCACTCAGCCAGGCTGTCGAGCATCACGACTGACTACGTGTGTTTCAGGCTAAAAGAGGAGATTTTCTGCTGCCTCTGCTTCTCCATTATTTCATTGCTCTGCCCCATGTGAAGTGAAATAATACTGGAAAAGCCTTAAAAGGCTGGATTATATCAGTAAATTTTGCCTGGTGTTCCCTTTACAGTACATCTGGATGCCACTTGCCTGATTTTAATAAAATCTAAGTGGAGACAATTAACTGTAAACTGTATAGATCTTGCCTACAGGCCTTGTTATTCATGAAACTGAACTGCAAAGACAATTTGCTTCCATTATTTAAGGGCTTCGAAACTACTTCTTGAGCCTTTTCATTCTCATTGGTTCAGGATCCATGATGTGAAATCAACAGGGTTCCCACCTGACCAGTCCATTGAGATAAATGGTGCTATTGAAGCTAATAGTGCTGAAGTTCAGTTGTATTCAAACCGTGCTTTGTGCAAGTTAAGGTGTGGAACAGAAACTCTCTCCAAGAGCACAGCGCAGCCAAGTAATGTCATGATTACTTGATTTCACTATTAACCGCGATTTTAAACGCCACTGTTAATTATTCGTAAAGATTCCTCAACACCGCCACTCTCCAAAGATTATGCCGGGACACGGAACCATATACAGTAGGTCAGCGCAACTCGAAAACAAAGTTACAAAAGTCTCCGAGTAATGAAGTATGGATGAAGAAGACTCCCCAACTTATAAACACTCCAAGCTTACCAAGCCCAGTTGGATGGCTACTACATTTTCATGCATGAACAAAATAGTCGCCACACGTACTTAAAACCATTACTGTTGTGTTGAGAGATAAAAGAAAAAGCAGGAGCACATAAGTATACGTCCGACCAGCGTTGGGTGCGCTCAACAGACTCAAATCATAACAGGCGTTGCTTGATGACGTTGCTGCTAGGCGACACAGTATACACCATGTTAAAGGCACATTTCATATATTCGACTGTTACAAGTTCAAATTCTTTTTTTTAGTCGTCAGACTGTTTCAGTGTCAGTGTGCAATGTGGAAGATATACGTAATGTCTTCTCAAGGTCCTCAGTCAGTGAACATTTAGCATTAGTATTTCCTCCTTTTGCTTCCTTCCATCTGTGTTGAGTACATGTTGGACTTGTCCTTCCAGCACGATGTCTGTTTCATTTATTATTAACACTGCACGAGATGTGCTCTCAATTTATTTGTGTAATTGTAATTTAAAGACAACAAAAAGAAACACGCATCCTAGAAAAAACTTAGACTGCTGGACCACAAAGAGGCATGTAGTAAAAGCAGAGTCCGCACACTACTTTTTGGTTACTTTTCTTTGTTACTATATTATTTTTGTTATGTTGGCATGGAAATAAATGAAACTTAAAGATCCATAAGGAGTGTTCATGGGATTTTACACATTTATAGTGTGAAATTAATAATCGTGATAATCGTAAAACCGTGATTATTTCTCTGACAATAATCGTACCAGGAAAATCGTGACATCCCTAGTAACCACACCCCAGTGCTAGGTGCAAGCACACATTACCCCACCCTGATGCACAAATTGGAGACAGAAAGTTACCTTTGTCAAAGTCTGCAGGATTTTTTTAAATTAATGTCTGATGGTTGAATACTTTGTTTAAAATGATGCAAGTATCCAACAGCTACTAAAAGTAACTAGAAAGTGATACGGCTAATTGTGAATGTTGCCCTAAACATTGCGAGAGTCACATGGGTGGAGATTCAAACCAAACTTTATTTTGAATTCTAGGGAGTTCCCAAAGATACTGAACATGTCACATTGAGTATTGTGTACATGATTATGGAACATAAATGTACATTTCTGTTTGATGTGATGGTGAAGCCAAAAAAGACATGATGTTGGTTTGAATATCTCAGCACACAGTTTTGATGAAATGTTAAAACAAGCAGACACACAATGTGATAATCAGAATTTTTTTTTTTTTTTTTTTTTGCCTGATGGTAGAGCGGGTCGTTCACCAATCGGAAGATCAGCAGGGTTTGATCCCCGGTTCCTCCAGGCTGCATGTTGAAGTATCCTTGAGCAAGATACTGAACCCCAAATTGCTCCCGATGATTCTTCCATCGCTGTGTGAGCATGTTAAAAACTGAGTAGCAGGTGGTAGCTTGTATGGTAGCCTCGGTGTGTGAATGTGTGTGTGTGAATGGGTGAATGTGACTCATAGTGTACAAAGCGCTTTGAGTGGGCGGATGACTAGAAAGGCGCTATACAAATGCAGGTCCATTTACCACTTTCAAAAAACAAATGGTGATAACTGGGGAAACAGAGGAGTTATGTTATGTTGTATGCAGTATGTTTTGGCCACTCTTATAATCTCCAGGGTTTGGCAGTAATGGAATACAAGTAACTAAATTCATTCATTCATTTTCCGTAGATGCTTATACTGTTAGGGGTTGCAGGAGGCTGAGGCCGATCCCACCTGACATTGGATGAGAGGCGGGGTACACCCTGAACACATGGCTAGCACATAGAAACAGACAACCATTCATGCTCACAGTCACACCTACAGCCAATGTATAGTCACCATTTAACCTAACCTGCATGTCTTTGGACTGTGGTCAGTTGAATCCCTAGGCTGAACACAAACCCGCCACCCGGAGTTCAAACCAGGAACCCTCTTGCTATGAGGCAATAATGCTAACCACTGCACCACTGTGCTGCCAGTACCTGAGTTACATATTTAAAATATAAAATATGAGTAACTGTATTGACAGAGTAACAGTTTAAATTCCTAGCATTCAAAATATAATACTTGAAAGTTTTATTTTATTTGTTTTTGCAGTTTTTGCCTTTAATTGATAGGAAACTCAAGTGTGATAGGGGGAGAGAGAGAGGGAGTGACATGCAGCAAAGGGACACAGGCTGGAGTTGAACCCGGGCCGCTGCGGCAACAGCCTTGTACACGGGGCGCCTGCTCTACCACTAAGCCACCGACGTCCCTAAAATGTGTGTTTTCTGCTTAAAAAGTGCATATGGAGAAAACAGAAAGTACTTGCCCATCTTGTAAGTAATGTGAGCCTACGTGGTTACATGACTTAACAGAAGTTCATATTTAACAGATTCAGTGTGGACAGAGAGCGATTCTTGGCGTAAAAATTCAAATGAGGCACGTATTTTCCATAAACAAATATTTAAAAAAGTGTGTGAAGTGCACCTGCCACACGACAGTGGCAGAGGAGATCCACAGCCAGGACACTGTCCTGTGTTTTTGGCATGGAAATATATGACCCAGACAAAACTTTACAAATTACATTACAGTGCATATATTCAGTACTCTGTCACGAAATACATTTTATAGTAACCCTCCCAACACTGTTGACCAAGTTTAACAACACTGACATATCAACACCTTATATGATAGCAAACTGTTGCTATGTTTCAGGCCATCTGGTGACTGCAAGCCCAATCGTCACTCTGCATGTAGCTCTGGTTTATTCTCTACCATCTACTGAGACAAATATCTGGCTCTGTAGTGGCTACATGCCTCAGTATCTTCACCAGCTAATCCCTAAGTTTGTCTGTCTGCTGTTTGCGGCTGTACCAAAACAGTAAAGATGCAGATTGTAACACCAAAACAACAAGCCGAAGGGTAACTGCAGTACAGCTGGACCAAATGTCTTTTTTTTTTTTCCTTTAAAAGCTTCTGTGGAGATTTTTGAATGAAGCCTTGATTGTTCATAGTCATATTTCATGATGTGATTACTGTAAAATAAATTTAAAATCCAGGAAACAAAATC